TTAAGCAGTGCGACAGACAGACAGACAGACAGACAGCTGAAAGAGACTTGTCCAAGCCAATAAACATAAATTTACACGACCCAAAAGGGAAGGCCAATAACCAGGCGTCTGCCTGCCACTGCCACAAAGTGTTGACACCTTGGCAAGCCACACACACAGACACATAGAGGGAGGGACATCTCTAGTTTGACAACAATCAATCAATATTTATGTCTCTACAGCAGTTTACTTGCTGTGCTGTCAGAAACTTTTGCCTCGCGTATAGATTATGTATCTGATGGATACACAGCCAGAGCATCCAGGCAGGCAGCTGTGATTGTTGCTGCCTGCCTGCCTTCCACTCTAATGATAATGACAAGGGCAATAATAGTCAGTGGCGGGAGGAACTTTAGCCATTTACACTTTTTGCCAGATTTATGTTTATCCGCTCCACTGCCAGCTAAATCCTTTGATTGATGTCCAAACCAAGTTAATTACGTGGCTCAAAAATGGTGAAAAGTTTCGCTGAGGCACAGGGAGGAGCTCTGGCAGTGGCGCAATTAATTGATTATTTGTTGAGAGCACTCAACTTGAGTTTGTTATAACAATAGAAATAATAATAATAACAATCTGAGGTGTCTGTCATCATAATGTTTCCCCCAGCTCTCTTCCGCTCTCTCTTTCTCTCCTTCCCTTTGGACAATGAGCTGGGGAATGTCTTGCAGGCGTTGGCAGAGATTACGCATTAAATAAATCATCATCACCCCTCCCTGAAGGCGTTGCCTAACACTTCCACTTGGGCCTGTGTTGTCTCGTGCCGAGATTTATTGTAAATAAGCATGATTATCGTGGCATCACGTATACGCCATGGCAGGCAGGCAGCACTCCAAACTGACAGACATAAAAATTTGGTATGCCAGCGCGTCTCGTTCCAGCCCAGATTAATATTTGAAGTCTAATTAGCAGCTAGGAAAAAATGCGTAGAAATATGCCAACATCTCCCGCTATGAATATGGGTTAAGGATAGCTGAAGCAGTACTCCGGCCACAAGACACAACTTGAGTCTTCCATTTAGTTTCTATTCATCCTTTCTTTTGTCCATCTGCAGAGGTGCATTCATTGTCTTTGATCATTTGCCTCAAGTGTGGCTATGAAAGGACTGCGTACCACTCAGAGTCTCGTATGAGTATTGCCGCATTGCCATAAACCCAATGCCATAACCTCATCTTGACAGAACATGGCTTTGCTTTCCTTTGCTTTCTGCCTGAATCCAGGCATCTCTTCCATCTCTGTCTGTCAGTCTGTGTGTGTGTCTCTGCTTTCGCTTCGCGTAACCTCAATGTGTTGCGAAACCCATCAGAGACAGTAGCAGCAGCAGCGTGTCCTTGGCATCCTGTGTGCTCTCTGTCCCATTTCAACCACTCCCTAGGCATGGATGGCGGCTCTAGTCGCATTACTCTGCCGCTTAAAAGGTTAAAACGTTTCTGACTTTGAGCGGCAGGCAGCCAGACGCTGCTCCTGCTGCACTGGCGCCAGCAAAATTGTCTAATGAAAGCAAACTTTCTGCCTCATTTTTTGCCCCATTTTTGTGTGTGCTTTTTGAGCTCTCTTTTGGGTCTGTGGGTGTGCCATTTTAATTGAGCCAGTTTTGTTTAATTAAACATAAAAAATAGAATTAAAACCCCAACACCCAAAAAATTATAAAGTCAAATATTTCAAATGAAAGTCGGCTGAAGGTGTGTGTTTGACATTCTAATTGAATTGCCTTTCAGATTGAAGCTGGTATTCCTTGCGGAGACTTTGTTTCACACTCGTGGAATATTATTATCTGTGCCTTTATCTCTGTTGTAGCTCATCACACGCAAATTACGCACATTATAAGGCTCATCTGGCAACCAAATGACCTAGACAAGACCCCAAACTGGTCGTTAGGCGAGCAGCCACCACCCAAGGACCTAATTCTCCTGACCGCAGTGAACTTTTGTGGACGTGGAAACTCAAATGAACTCCACTCAAACTTGACCCAGTACGCGGCCAAGTCCGAGCTTAGGTGCCAGCTAGGCGGTGTTACCTGTTGCCAAAGGGGCGGAGAGAGACGAGCTTCCTGCCATGTTCTGGCCTTGCCCACTGTCCTTTCCCCCCAACCGCGTTGTCGTGTTTCCACTGTGCAAACGACATTCATAATTTTTATTTACTTTCCTTTGCCTTCCTTCTTTTCAGTTTCATTTCGCTTTTCGGTTTTCCCTTTCTCTCCCTTTCTCCCTGTTCCTTTTTTGCATTTTTATGCGCCCGCGTACCACATTTCGTATACCTAATGAGATTTTTCTTCTCGCAGACATATTTGCAATGTGGAGACCCAAACGCCGACGCTGTTGGCCGGCCAGCCGCAAAAATATTTTTCCAACATAAAAAGTGAGAGAAAAAAAGGGGCGTGGCTTCCAAGCTCAGTCGCCGTCTCGGCTTCGGTTCTCAATTTGAAAGTTTCCTTGCAGCCAAACCCAGCAGCAACAAAAACTAATTACAATCTCAAGTTGTTTTTCCAACACTCAAAGAGGACTGCCGCGCCCCGCACCCCATAACCAAGGCAACTTGTAGCAAAATTCTAGAAGCTACAAAAATTATATTAAAAAGTGCACCGGAGCAGTGTCTGGGGAGGGGGGAGGGCACAAGTTTAATTTTAGTTTTTGCAACTATTTTTTGTCCCACGCCCTTCGCGCGCTGTGCTCCTATTTCTTATGCCCATTGCTGTTGTTGTTTTGTGTCTTTTAATTTTGTACTTTGCACTTTGTGCAAGAATTTATCATTGTTCTTGGGTCCCACTTTGGGTGCATTTTTGCTCCCTTTTCGCTCTGCTCTTCTCTCAAATTGCACCTCTGTGATTATGGCCACTTGGCATCGTCTTCGTCGCTGTCGTCGGAGCTTTGTTACTCCATTTAGCCATTTAAGTGATGGGGAATAGCAGTGGCAGTGGGGCAGCAGGGCAGCAGGGCAGCAGGGGGGGGCAGGGACTGGCTGCAAATGTTTTTTTGGCTAGCTCTAATGACATTCCTCTTGCAACTAGTCTCCCAGCTGCAAAATGTACTTGACAACACCTTGACATTCTTCATTAGTGTTGCGCTTCCAAAGGAAATTGTTCAGCCAATTCACAATTGGACAGAGGCAAGAGCAATCCAAGCAGCAAAACATCCTTCAACATTTTGCATGCTAATCTCTGTCATCAGGCAGTAAGGGACCTGGACCACCCCCAGTCCAATTTTGTTGCGTCATTATTCAAAATGTCAATGTCATTTCATTTTTACCACCACCCACACAAGCCCCCTCTGTGACTCTGACTCTGACTCTGTCGCTCTGTCTGTGGCCCTTTTTTGGCAGCTGAAGTCTCAACCGACTGCTGATGACTGTTGGGGCTGCCTATATAGAATGGCTTCCTCACAATAGTGGCAACAAAACCCGTAATATCCAAGGCGTTTGTCATGCTTAGCCGGCCCCCACGGCTGTCCCCGCGGCTCTGTCTGCTCCTCGACAGTTTTTTGAATTTAAAAATTCTTTTTTTATCAGGCTTAGCCTTAAATTGTTGCATATTATTTCTGCGTATTGCTTAAATCATAAACCCAATATTAGCTCTACACCCGAAACACTTTTGGGACCACTTCGAACTGTGTGTGGCTTGTGCCCCATTTTACTTGGACACCACCGCAATGGCCCTTCATTTATTTAACAAATGACAAGCGCTTTGCAAATCAAACAACAATAACTAATAGACAGTTTTGTTTGCTGGCGCTTCTTTGTTGTTGTTTCGAGTTGTTTAGTACAAATGGTTCGCTTATCTGTTGGGCCAGGCCAACGGAACAAAAGGCCTGTGCCTTTATCTGGCCGGGCAGCGGCTGCCACCATAATGCACCATCGCAAAAATATCAGCGATACAGAGGAGCATGTGTGGATGTGGATCTATATAATGCTTTGGATGTGTTTGTGCATTAAAGCTAATAACCGATTTGCGTGCCCAACGCACATAAGCCAGGCCGCAGTTTGTGGGCCGTTTTTGTTATTAAAAAAAGGGGAATATGGGCTAGGGGTACGGGCCTGAGTGGGTGGCGCGTAGCAATGCACAATATTATCGTCATTTACTAAGTTTTTGTTTTGTTTGGGGAATTTCAATGCATTAGCAGGGCCAACAAGATATGGAGTAATAAATCCTAAAAACTACAATGAAAATGTGACAACAAATTGTTTGGAAATTAAAGCTCAGGAAAGGTTTTTTTTTTTTAAATAATTCTTTAAAGCGGAAATAATATAAATAGCTGCTAAAAAATATTGAAACTTACAAATTGGTTGGCTGAATATAGTAATAATTCCTCTGAAATGAGAGAGAGAAGCAAAAATTAGCAACAATTTGCAAAAGCAAAAAAAAGTCAGAAACTTAGAGCTATAAAATACGATCAAAGGGCAGAAACTTTAAGCGAATTTTCAAACCGCCCAAGGCAGCGCAGCGTCGCGCTCTCTCTCTCGCGCTGTCACACTAAGCTTTGCGCTCTCTCCCAGCGCGCCGCTCAGTTGATCGTTTCTTGAAGCTTAGCAGAGACAACAACCAACCAAAGCAGTGCTCGCTGATGAAGCTGTTCCCGTTAATCAAATCAAAGTCCAAACAAACGTAAATAAAGCAAGTGTAAATGAGACACATATTAAAAATAAGAAAAGGGAAGAAAATATTTGCATTTTCATATAAATATGATTTTTTCATGACTAAAATTGTATTATAATTATTATTAAAAAAACATTCCATTACGAATTTAAATAATTATCTATTAGAAAATAATCTAGAAAGCGTTTAGAACTCCCAAATTAAAATTGTTTTGTTTTTTTGTTGCTTTAAAAGTTACCAAAATTAGCTGTCGAAAACCCCCACCTGTTCCCACTGTGCGTCGGGCCGTTTAGACAACTTTAAAAAGACGTCGGAATGGGCTCTAGCGGCCCGGGACCGCGCGATCTGTCAGCACCGTCTCGATGACTGCGATCAGTTGAACTTACGTCGCCGAGTCGAGCAGCAGCACTAACAGAGCAGTACGCGGAAACGGTCGAGCGAACGCTATACAATAATCGCAAGAACCTGAGCTGAATATACACGAATATCCAAAGTTTTAGCGTTAAAAAGCAATTGAAATTGTGAATGAGCCAGCCAGCAGTATTGCTTGTTTGATCTGTCTGTCTTTTTGCATATCTCAATAGCGGTGTGGCAATTTCTGTGCCTTAGTTTGTTGGCTAATTGTGCAAGTAAAAGATACAGCAGACCACGCTTTATATTTCGCATGCGCGACGCTCGTTTTCGTCTAGTTTTGTTTGTGTAACAGTGTGTGTGTGTGTGTATCTGTGTATGTGCGCTCAATCTTTGCTCAATCGCAATCTTTGGGCATTGCCCAAACTGGTTAACTAAAAGCAAACGTGTTCTTTACGCTTTTGTTGACTTTGCACAGCGCACGCAAAGCCAAAAGTTAGTCAGCAAACAACAACAAATATTACAAAATAAATCAAAGGCAAAACAAAACGACAACAATTCCAGTGTTTACCCATCGATACGGTGACCTGTCTACAGCAACCTTAAGAACACCGGGAAAACAGGTAAATTCAATCCACGCTGCTCATTATAAATGTAAAGGGTTAAGTGGATGCAGCCACGCTGCTCCACTCGATATTTCAAGGATGCCAACAACGAAAACCGCAACAAAAATAAAGATAATGCAGGGCAGGGCAGGCACCATTCTCCCCGTCAGTCAGCAACAGTCAGCGGCAGAAGCAGCAGCAAAAGAAACAGCGGCAGAGGTAGAAGCGAAAGCAGCAGCAGCGGCAGAAGCATCGTCAACGACCTGCTCCAATTCGATTTATGCAGCCCAAGGTCAGCGGCAACTCAGCGGCTTTAAAATGCAAACTCAACTCAAACTGAAAAAGAAACTGAAGACGGAACCTGAAGTTGAAGCTCAAACTGAAAGCTGAATCTCCATATGAGTAGAGTCTGATGTTGCTTCTTGCTGCCTTTGTTGTCGTTAAAGTTGCTGCTGCTGCTGCCTCTGCCACGTTTTTATACCCTGCGAGTGCGTATTGCAGCTCCAGTTAGAGGTTTGGTAACGCAGCAGCTTCGAAGCATATAAATTCCACAAAAGAATTGGCTTTCCAATCAATGATAATTTTTGAAGCTGCAAAAATATCAGAAATAATTCCCAGACATATTTTTGTATATTTTTTTTGCATTTTCCATAAAAGTGTATAACTTCAGCGTGCTTGAAATTATTATTTGACTCTCTTTTTTCGCTGTTTGTTTTTGGGTTTTTTGAACTTTTCTGCATCGTCTGCTTGGCTTTTTGGTTTACTTTGTTAAAGAGCAGAAAAAAACCTGCCATGTGGCAAGCAAGAGGAGCCAAAAACCGAAGCATACGTAGACGTATCCGTTTAATGTGTGCTGCTGGCGGCCCTAACTGAATTGAGATTGTTGTAGGTTAGTGTCTTCAGTGGCCTTCAGTTGATTCCATAAACCAACCGGTTGCAGTGTGTCTTTGACTGTAGTTGGTAATTATTTAATTTTCTCTGCCTCTAACCGGGCACTTAACCTACACGATTTAACCACAAAAACCGCAACAATGAGAGTAAGTGCCCCCAACAACAACAAAAGCAGACCACCACCAACGACTTGGCACAATTAAAACCGCAAAACTCAACCTCAGTCGTTAGTTAACTTTGACCTGCACAGCAAACAGCAAACAGCAAACAGCAAAAGGCAAAAAGGGTTTCCACGCACACGCAAAGTTCAGATTTAAAGAGGTTAGCAGTTAAACGCAAAAATTATGAGCGCACCATAAAGAGCGAACACTTAAATTCTGACTAATTTGGTTATGGGAAACAAAATAGTCATGAAGAAAATGTATAAAAAAACTGAAGGAAAAAATGAATGTGGTCAAGGAGCCGTCGCAGCCTTGGCTTGGGACTCGACTTAAGTTAATTATTTCACATGAATTGCAGAAAAACTTATACCCAAAGCATTAAATGTTATTGCCTTTGTCATGAATTAATTTTTGCATCGATTTGAGTTCATTGAAGATCATAAAGATGTAAATCAAGGCTCTGCAAAGAACCTGCAAGTCAGAATGAGTAACACAAATGAGGAATAAGCTTTGGTCAAAAGCCAGAGCCAGAGCCAGAGCCATTTGGTTGTACAACTTTGAGTGGGCGTAAAATAATATTAGAGTGAAAAAAAAACGCGGGAATATATATTTGTATGCACTTGATATTAATCATTACGAACCCCTTCAGGCTCTTAACACGTGCGAAAATTAATTCCCACAAAATTTCAGCCACTACATTTTGTCCATTGTAATAACTAATTGAGTTTTTAGAGTGTGCATAAAAAACGTAATTTACCAAAAACTCGATCAATGTCAAATTAAATAAAAGTTCTTCAACAAATAGAAAATAATTTGGCTGCAAATTTGATAATTGTTTCGACCAAAAATTCGAATTAGTGCCGCCCAAACCCATCGTGGCCCCGTGCTCCGTACCGAACCGACAATTGCACATGCAATAAATTACACTCAACATTTTGGCACTTGTTTGGGGGCTTTTTAAAGTGCAATTAACGCCGAGCTGCTGCACAATTATTTATTTGTATATTGCAGATATATGTATTTTCCATTTGTAGTGTTTTTTTTTGCGCTGCTTTGACAACATTTCTGTCTGGTGGCGCCGCAACGCACTCGTAATTGTATTGAGTTTGTCAAGGCGCATCGACATACGCGTACAGCGGATGCCGCCGATATGTAATGGCAATTGATTTGCATGCAACAAAAAATAGAATTCCACCCTGCAATATATATTTTTGTGTGTATATAATTATTCAATTAAACGACCGCACACACACACACACAGCACACGAAGCAAAGGTAACCGCCAATAAAAACAGTCAACCAAATATACAAATAAATATATTTCCCCGTTTTACTTCTATTTTTTTGTTGTATTTCTTGTGCAATTTATTTCATTTTGCGACATGAGACACGGAATGCCCGTGAATGCAATCAAAGTTTTACTTTATACGAGAAAAAGGGCCAAAAGTGCGTGGGGAAATTGAATTTATTTATTTGATTTCAGCCGGCAAATCAATAATTAAATTATAATTCTTTCTAAAATGTAGCACAATCTGGGGAGAAATATCTGTTCTGGCAGTCAAATCCAATTAGGATTTGCCGCTCGATTCCGAGCCCTTGTCAATGAAATCAAATCACCACAAGTTAGTCGAGTTTAATTATTGTAAATAGCAAAAATGAATTATGCAAAATACTCCTAACAAAGTTATGAAATACTCGCCAGACTGTGGGAACAAACAAAATGACCCAATGACATTCGACAGCGATGCAAAAAATCAATACATTTCAGTGGAGAAGCAAATAAATGTTCCAATTCAACGTCTTTGATGTCCATGAGAATATGCAAAGTTGCTCGGCTCTATTTGGCCCACTTTCGGGACAAACTGACAAACACTGAACGTAATAAGCCACTTGTAAGTCAGCAGCAGCAAATGATGTTGCTCTATAATGGAGATACTTACTCTCCCCCCCAACTACCGCTGTGACACATTTACATAATCCGAGCCAAATCTTTGGTAACAAGTAATCGAACATAAATTTGCATAAGAAATGCCTGAAAAAAAAAAAAACATAATGTAGCAATAATCTAAAAGTGTCTACTGAAAGATTGAACATCAATCAATAAAATAGGCTGCCGAATCCTGCACGACTTTTGCCACTCAAGCGAATAGGAAATTTAATAACAATTTAAATTGAAAATCCCCCGAAAGCCAGAGGTTGCGCTGCTATGATTTTGTATATATATTTCATCTACAATTTGTTTCTCGCATATATTTCAGCAAATAGAACAAACATCAGCCTGCAGGCGCAACAAAAAGAGAATAACAATATGTAGGCCCAAGCCGCATGGTCGCAGATTCCGTCGCTTTTGCCTCCGAGTAATTGCCAAATGTTTACGCACATATGTACCCCATAATATTTGCATATAAACAGCCATATGTAGCCGCTTGCAACGCTTTTTTTAGGGCTCTGTCTCCCCCATTTGCATTTCATTTCCAAGTTTGTGTTTTTTTCGCTTTTTTAAAGGAAATCCTAGGGGCATACTGTCAGTGATTTCATTTGACTGAAGCTGAATTCGTTGCTGTTGGGGGGGTTTTCACATTCCCACTGTGATGACATGATTTTCAAGGGTTTACCCACAAAAAAAAAAGGGAAAACCGCTGACATTGAGTCGAGTCTTGTGTTATGAATTGAATTGCTACACTTTAATTAATTTCAGGTGCCTGAAGCATCCTCTTAGTCTGCCGCTTAATTGAAAAACGCTCTCGCAATGAATTTATTTGCACGATACTGCAGACAGATTATTTCGGGTTAATGACTCCTTCAAGTGACACTTGAAGCAGCCATCCACCAGGCACCAAGGTCCAACATTCGTTCTCGTTTTACAAACACACAAAAGCAGCTTACAGTCCGTCCGGCCGTCTGTCCGTCCGTGCCAGACTTTGGCCTTTCGGTTTCGCTTGGTTTTACCCACCAAAAATAGATAGGAACCAAAAACAAAACCAAGCAAAACGGCAGTCAGTTTGCGATTACTCACCGAGTTGACTAAGCAACTAAGATGAGGAAAACCAAGCCGAGAAGCGCACTGAAGGCGAGGCTTGAAATTGGATCACAATTTTAGTCAGGCACACTCTAATGGCGGGTGTTATGGAATGAGCTGAAGCTGCGAATGTCGAAATGGAAATATTTGTGAAGAAATAATATTCATTTATTATTAAAGGGCTAAAAAATAAGATGCACAGCAACATGTACTTCGATTTTGTAGCTAAATATTTGCTAAATGCGGCAGGCTGAATAAAGTAACCAAAACCTAGGCAATAAAACACAGAAAAACTCTCCAAAGAGCAGGCAACAGAACCCTCTGAGAGCACCCAAAACCTCACTAATAGACCCCTCTTAGAGTATCAACAGCCTCGACTTCGTTTTCTAACCTTCTTTCTAGCTTTTCTTTATTTTTCCCCTTTTTTGGTGTATTTCTATTTTGGCCCCCAATGCGACCAACTGTAAAACTCGCATAAAATGCAATGAAAGCGCATTTTTAATTGTTATTGCTGTTGACTAAATTTAGTTGGAAAATGTAGCGTTAAACCTTGAGCATTGGAAATCTGTGCATAATTGGTTGGAAAATGTTTGGGATAGTCCGAAACGGAAGCCGTAACCGAAACCGAAACCGAAACCAAACCAAAACCAAAGCCTGAAGTTAGTCCATGTGCGTGTGGTGTGTGTTAATTATTGCTGGACAGTGTCTATAAGCAAATATAAATTAAATGCATGCTGAAGGGAGGGGAAATCTGAGTTATGATCGGTTGCAGGCATATTAAAATCTCGTTTGACCTGCTTTTTCGTGTGTGTATTTTGCGTTGCAACGTTAGTTAAATCATAGCCCCAAAACAATTGCAGGCGACAGTCGATTGCTGGTACAACAATAAAAGCGACAAACGTTTGTCGTGCAGTCACCGATATCCATATCCATACAGAGAGAGAGAG